TTACCAGATTTTGCAACCAGGATTATTTCTCGCGGTGGTAACTTGCTGCCTTAGTTGCAACAAAAATATATACAACACGAATACAAAGATACTCATCATCATCATCACCACCACCACCATCATCATCATGATACTGTTGTTGTTGTTTTTTGGGAGGGCGGGGGTTACGTTCTCGGGTGTGGGATCTGTAGGGCAGAAGAGCTGCTAGTTTGTTGGGCCCTGAGAAACCAAAGAAGCCCAAGCAACAAGGCTGCAAGAGGGGCGAGGCAAGCGAGTAGGCGAGCCGGCAGCAGCGCCACATGACGAGACCCCATTGCACCAAAGTACTGGAGTGTGCCTGCGGCAACACTTTCTCGGCTGAAGCCTAACCGCTTGAGCCAAAGCAAGCATGTCCAGAGGTCGAGGAGCGTGCAAGTAATGCCAAATCAGGCTTTCAAAGCCATTTCCCTGAGCTCCGAAGAATGACAACGAAGCCTTCATCCCGAGCCCCCAAAAAACACTTGCCTTCCGGAGTTTGTCTTCACGGTTCTTGGGTGTTTGGGGGGTTGGATACCGCGGAGCAATTTTGAGATTCGATTCGGGCCTTTGGGCGTTGAGATGCCAGTTTGGATGACAACATTGTCTTGCGTTTTGTTCTGTCTGGGCTCATTCATTTCTTGAGTTCGGCCCTCGCTTGGGGGGGAGTTTAGCGTGGTCAATGGAACGTGCGCAATAGATCAAGGCAAAAGCTAGCAGCAACAGAAAGATCTTGGTGCTGATGTTTTTTTTGCGTGCGCTTGGCCCTAGCTCGAGCAGTCTTGCACTCGGAATTTTCCGAGGGCTGGGAAAGGGCGACTGGTGCGAAAGGTTCCGTGGCTCAGAGCACAACCACGCAATTCCGGATTAAGGGACTCTGCGGGACCCTACTTTGCCATTTCATGGCCCAGAGGTGCGGCTAATGTCTTAGTTCTGCCATTAGCCATTGAACTTCTCAGCACTAAGTTACACCCATGTTGCTGCTTATTCCTGGAACCTTCAGATGACGGAGCCCCAGCATCATCCTATAAGCTATATTCTTAAATTCTTGTTGCTCGCGGGGCGGCCAGAACTACGGATCCTCTTCTAGCACACCCAGAATAGAAGCCCCCCCAAGCCCTACTAAACCCTCAACTCTAAACTGTTATAAACCCTAAACCCTAAACCCGCAAGAAGAACGGCCTATAAGTCTGGTCAACCCCCCCGCGCGCTGCTATCGGAGTTCGTTTCGAACGGTTGTGGGCTCCTGGCCCAGGGGCTCCAAGAGATACTTGCATGCTCAGGGAACGTAGAAAAAGCAGGTTAGAAGTAGGGATGTACGGTGTATGAGTATACCAAGTGGGTATACTGACTCAAACCCCCACATTCGATGGGTAATCCGTTCGATGACGGCCGTATAGGCGCCGTCCCTAAGCCCAGGAATGTGAAGAAAGCAACAAAGGCAGGGGCCTTCTAGCTAATTACTCCTTAATGACAAGAGAACCCTTTTGCTTTTTATTCAGCTTTGACAAGGAACCCCCAAAGCAAAAAGGGAATGAGGGCTACCTTGGCATGTTCCCCCTTATACTAACAGTCCTGAATAGGGAATACCCCCCGATAATCCCTATCAAGGATTGCTAGTATAAGGGGGAAACATCCCAAAGCGGATCGCAAGTTCGGTGTGGGTCACCCTCGGGTTTGTTTGTTAGATTCCACTCCCGGCTTGTTGTGTGGGATCGCGGACAAGACAACGCCACCAGGAGAAACTGGAGCTGCTCTCAACTACTTCTTCCCTCAGGACACGGAGCACACAGCTGGAATGCCCAAATAGGGATAGAACCGCAGCTGGACACTTTCCCCCCGGTCTTCGGTGACCAATGGGCATTGTGCCTTGAATCTCGCCTCGCTACTTGGAGGTTCAGGGTACTTAGAAGACTTAGAACCCCAATTCGAACTGCACTTAGAAGCCCCCTAAGTCCTCTAAGTAGGTTGTAAGTAGACGTTTAGTTGGTGCTATAACCCGAAACCCTAAACCCTAAACTCTAAACCCTGGGGTGATAAGTACCCATGAACCTCCAAGTATGCGGGCAGAGGCGCCAAGCACTCTTCCACCCCCAGCTCCCTCTCCATGTCACAGCTTTTTGCAGAACGGTGTAGGGTTTGAGGTTTAGGGTTTAGGGTTTAGGGTGTAGGGTTTAGGGTTTAAGGTGAACCTTTCTCCATTCCAAGATAGATACTACAAAACTTACACCAGAAGATATTGCCAAGAACAATCTGGGTTCCCTCTCCAAGATTTGAGCCTGAGAACGCCTCCATCCACTACCAAACCCGAGCCTTCAGCACAGAGAAAATCCAGAATGAACACGACAGGAAAGACAGCAAGTGAACGAGCTGACAGCTCCATCATGTGCGAACCAGGGTTTGACAAAAGCGCGCCTAAACATTCCTAACAATCTTTAACGGTTTAGTCATGAAAAAAAGGCAGCAAACGGCTGTTTAATCATGAACAAAAAAGCACATGATGCGGATGCTATCAGCTGAAGAGCTAACTGATCACAATGAAGACCTCGCGCAAAGATGAATTTTGCCTTGCAAAACCACTTATCCAATTCAAAGGGGCCTTCGTCCACTTTCACTGTGTTCGCTCATGATCAGAATATTGGTGCACGTCACCTGACACTGACAAGAGTGAACACTGCTGGGTGTCTTGTCTTGTCTGTTCGCCCTGAAGCCGCAAACCCGACAAAAAGCGTCAGACCCCCCTAGGGTCCAGATGAAGAACCACCTCGATATACAAGCCTTGCAACACAACAGGCTTTGGGGGGGTAGCTTTTGTTTGACAACTGGGGATGAGCCCCAAACCCTAAGCCCTAAGCCCTAAACCCCAAACCCTAAGCCCTAAACCCTAAACCCCAGACCCCAAACCCTAAACCCAGGGCTCTGCTGGGGCATCGAGGATGATACTGGCAATGATCTTGGCCCCCGCTATGCCGAAAGTGGGGCATGTCCAAATACCATAACACAAGAACTGTGTTCGTTCGTAGCTGCGGGGTCGCAACTGCAAATAATAATAATAATAATAGTAATAATAATAATAACAATAATAATAAACATCATAATCATAATCATAATAAAAAGAAATGATGAAGAATAATAAGAATAAGAAGAATAATAATAGCAATAATAATAGCAATATTAATAATCTATATATATATATATACCTACACACACAGAGATAAATAAAAATATATATATATGTGTGTGTGTATATGTGTGTGTCTACAGATATATATATATATATATATATATATATGTATAGGTATACATACACATACATGTATTGTAAGTAATAGCTAGAGCCGGACAAGATGGCACAGCATGCACGGGCACCGAAACAGGGGGAAGAGCTTAGGAGACACGCCGGTGTGACCCGTCTCGGAAGTCGCTGCCCACATGCCCCGATGCGCCAAGGCTGTGAGAAGCGAGCAAAAATTGGCTAAGAAAGGGCTCTCCTGTTCCTCCCCTGCGGGGTACAAGGCTTGGGGTAAGCCAAGATCAGAAGGGACCGGAAGCTGCCCAGTTTTAAAGAGGGCTCACACACGCATCATCCTTGAACCCCAGGCTGGAAGTCAGGGGCTAGGGGCTGCAAGGAGGGGACTTGAGGATGAACACCCAGCAGCCCTAGAATTCCGTCAACCTCGGAATTTCCGAAAGTCTAGAAAAGCCCCGCGGTGCGCGCCTTAGACCATGGCAAACAAAGGGGGGTTGACCAGGCGTCACTCCCCAAGCCCTACCTTAAGAAACCGCAAGGCCTACATTTTTTTTGTAGGTTCCCTAAGAATCCAAAATGGGGTTCTCTTCACGTACGCCCTTACCCCATGTAGATCCCTAAAGTCTGCCTGGGAGGCCGCCCTCGCTTTCCGGGTGTGACCTGTACAGGTTTCGGGGTCTAGGGGTTTGGGGTTTAGGGGTTATAGGGTTTCGGAGACTTGGGAGCAATAAATTGGTGGGGGGGGGGGGGTTAGGACAACTTGTTTTGGGGGGGAGGGTGGGGGCTAGGGGTTTAGGGTTTTTTTGGAAAACTTCTGGGGGTAATGGGGGTTTAGGATAACTTGCGGGAGTTTGGTGTTCAGGGGGCTTAGGAAAACTTCTGGGGGGTTTAGGGGGTTTAGGGGTTTTAGGAGATTTAAGTTATGGGGTTTAGGTTGGTGGGTTGACCACCTATAACTAAACCATTTGGGGGTTCGGGGGTTTAGGAGGTTTAGGGAGTTTAGGTGCAGGGGGACTAACTGAACCCTGAAAGGGCTTAAGTGGTCCACGTACATCCACAGGAACAAGTAATGGGGCGGGAGGGGGGTGTAGATCCCCATATCACGCTTCACTTCTTCCCAAAACCGGGCAATTGTTGAGACGGACCCTAGACCCTAGACCCTCCAAAAAAATTGCCCAAGATAGAGCCCAGATATCGCCTCGCCCTACTCGGCTGCACAGCCCTCCATGCCAAAATCATAGGGCTCTTTGGGGTGCTAAACCCTCAACCCTAAACCCCAAACCCCTAACCCTAAACCCTAAACTCCAGGGCGCAAGTTGGCAGCTCGGGGGTTTTGGCTGCCTAAGGCAAAGGGTAAGCCCAAAACCCCATAAACACTCGTAAGTTCAACCCCCAAGCACCAAAGCCTGTACCTGAAAGAAAGGGTGCTACCGTTGGCTTGCAGCGGTTTCTCAACTGTGGTCTTCGAATTGGGGTTCCGATCATGATGCGAAGGAGCCCTATATACTTCGGGGCACAACTAAGACAGATGCCCACCTAAAAAAAGGTCCACATCACGTAACCTGAGAGGTTTAGGGTTGAAGGCTTCAAGGGTCTCTGTAGGGAACCTGTGCCCAACACCCCCACCCCTCCCCAGAGCCCTCCGTATACTATAGTATCCCTAAACCCTAAACCCTAAACCCTAAACCCTAAACCCCAAACCCCACACACCCAAAACAAGCTGGCAGGTGCCTTTTCAGGCAGCGCCCGGAATCTGGAAGATCTCCGAAGGGTCAGTTCCAGGATTCCTTTTGTTTAGGGTTTAGGGTTTAGGGTTTAGGGTTCAGGGTTTAGGGTTTATAACCCAAGGTTCCCTTTCCACTACCCCCTAAAACTCCCTAAGCTTCCCTGAGGCGCTAGGTACCTACCCCCCCCCCCCTCCCCGTAAGGACCCTATAGAATTCCTTTTATTCCACCCACATGCGTATGGGTCGGGTTGTAGGGTTTGTAGAATCTTCTAGTAGGGTTGAGGATCCCAAGACCTGGAACAAAGGGGAAGAAGCATGGCTGAAACATGCTGCAAGCTACTGCGAGCATCTTCGACCCTTACAAACCGTCAGCCTTCTCGACATTTCTCGACCCTTAGGCTCATCCCCAAGCCTAAACGCGAGCACAGCCCGTAACCAGATTACTTAATTACAAGTATAGACCGCGCCCCGAAAGTCAACCCCAAACCCCAACCCACCCCAGAACTGAACCCCAAAGCCCGCCCTCCCCCCTCCCGGCGCAAAGCTCCTGAGCAGGACCAGATAAGGAGACTCCTCGCTGCCGAAGGAGGTCCAGCTGTACGTCCTCCCGTCCGGCACGCAGAACGCCCGCTCGAAGTCTGGCAAGTTTAGGGTTTAGGGTTTAGGGTTTAGGGTTTAGGGTTTAGGGTTTAGGGTTTAGGGTTTAGGGTTTAGGATTTCGGGCTGCAGGGTTCGAGGCATTTCGGCTGCGGCTGCGGCGAAAAAACCAAGAGCAAATGCAGTACTTGCCCTCTACATACTCTACATCTCGAGCCCAGGAGCTGTTGCCAGTCCAGGCAAGCACATTGTTCCGTCTACCGCTCGACGTGGCCAGGGCCAGGTACTGGACACCGCCTGCGACGAAGGCATGGCAGCCGTGGGTGAATTCGACACCCAGTCTCTGGAGAAGCTGGAAGTCCGTGCCATTATTCTTCGCGTAGATCCTTGTAATTCTGATGGGTGAAGGAAACGAGGGTTTCGGGTTCAGGGCTTAGCTTATTTAAGTCGATGCGTCCTTGTCCCCTGTGTATGCTCTGCGACTGCCAGGACAAGCGCGCCGTCAACGTGGATGGCGGCCAAGTCCACAGCATAGAAGGCTTCCATTTCCTGGAGGACCACATGAACCCTAAAATTGGGGTCATACACCCTACACTACTGGAATCCCTGTGAAGGTACATGGACCTTATAAACCTTTTCGGGCTCATTTGGAACCCCAAGGCTCTTGCCACAGTACGAAGGATGAGCCAGTCCATCTGTGGACATGTACGCCTCCACCAGTATGGCAAGCAACCGCCAGGCACTTCCAGCCATCCACTTCGAAGAAGGCCACAGCTCTTGGGTCGGAATTGGTTCGCACTTCCTGAAAGTCTTCGAAGGCACTGCCGTTCCACATGAAGACGCTCACGCTGGCCGGCTGCTTGTTCACGGCCAAGTAGGGCACCTGATTCCGCCATTGGTGGAGAACAAGGAGTCACAAAATATGAGCCCGACGTACGTCACTGTACTTTGTGCACACAAGTCTAAGCAACAAATCGTGCAAAGCTTGGGGGTGCCCCATGGGTGTGGACCAGCCACGCCGTCAATCACGAAGTGCACCAAAGCGGTAGCTCCGCTGGTCGCCAATGTCAGATATTCCGTAAATTCCACACCGTTCCACCGGTAAACCGGCGAGAAAGCCCGCTGTCTCTCGGTGAAGGCGAGGTACGATGTCGTACCGATTTCCTCGGCTTTGACGTAACCCCAGGGAAAAAGTGTGGTGACTCTTTGTAATAATCGGCACCCATGTATATAGGGTTTTGGGTTTATAGGGCTGAAGTTGAAGGAGTCAGGCATACTGCTCAAGACGGAGTCCAGACTCGAAGTATCTTATGCCACGGACGTCGGTGGTGCTGAAGCGCTGGGTCTCCTCAAGGTTCGCTCCTGAGATTTCGGTAGCGGACTCTCGCTTATTGTTTAGGGTTGGGAACCGAGGTCCCCACGCCGTCCCTTTTCAGGGACTTATGTGGAGAGATCGGGTGGTTAATTCCCTCTACATTGTGAACGCAGACCTATAGGAGTCACTTGGCCGGCTAACCCAAAAACAGCCCAAGCTCCATCCCACTTGTACAGTTTCGACTCGTACTGTTCGGGCTGAGAACAGGCGCCCATGAAGAGATACCTATGCTGAACTTGGAACCCTAGCCAAAAATCATTTGTTGCTGTTTTCTTAGGAATTAAAGTGCCCCAAAAATTATATAAAAAAACGTATTTCCAGGCATCCCCAAGAGACTGCGTGCCGTTCATCATGAAGGCCTCCCCACCGCAGGATTCCTGAGCCGGGCCTATAGCATGTCGGAGGTGTTTTTCAGCCTGACTGATGGGTCGGTTTGGGCTCTTGGGAAGAAAGCTTAGAAACCCTAAAAACGCCTAGAGCTCTCAACCGTGCACCCTAAACCCTAAACCCTAAGCCCTAAACCCTAAGCCCTAAACCCTAAACCCCTCACTCTTGGTCCGGGCACCGGGCTCCCCGGCACCTGCGCCACCGAGTCGAGGAGGTGGCAGGGGCCTTCATCGCTGTCCACGAGCTCTCCCAAGTCGCAGCCCTCGAGGAGCCTTCTTTCTTTTTTGTAGGGGGGGGGAGGGGTTTTAGGTTTTTTTTTTTTTTTTTTTTTTTTTTTTTTTTTTTTTTTTTTTTTTTTTTTTTTTTTTTTTTTTTTTTTTTTTAATAAGGTTTGTATTAAGGTGATATAGGTTTCATATAGGGTTTATATAGGGTTCAGGGCTTGCAGTTCGAGATCTTCCTAGTACGAGGTCGACAGCTACCGACGATTCTCCCGAATTCCTTATTAATTGTGATTACGATGACTATCGACAGTCTGTTTATTCCTAACGTGACCATTGACAGTTGTAACTTGTGTTGTCTTCTCTGAAATAGCAGTAAATATATGAAGGAATAAGCTGATTTTCTTGGGGGGGGGGGGGGGGGGGGGGGGGCAACGTTACGTTTTCGGGTTTGGGATCTGTAGGGCATACGAGCTGCCAGTTTGAAGCCCAAGCAACAAGGCTGCAAGAGGGGCGAGGCAAGCAAGGAGGCGGGCCGGCAGCAGCGCCACATGACGAGACCCCATTGCACCAAAGTAACTGGAGTGTGCCTACGGCAACACTTACTTGGCTGAAGCCTGACCGCTTGAGCCAAAGCAAGCATGTCCAGAAGTCGAGGCGCGCGCTGGGGTAACGCCGAACCCCGCTCACAAAGCCATCTTCCTGAGCTCCGAAGAATGAAAACGAAGCCTGCATCCCGACCCCGAAATGCTGAACAAAAATCTTACCAAAGTAGACCCCAAACAATATAATCGAAGACCCCACGTGTATCCCCACGGCGTCCTATGAAATACGGAAGCCGACCGCAGAGCCCTATAGCGTACGCGGAGCGCGGCTTCCGACCAAAAGCGCCGACACTTCCGCACGCAAGGAGAACGCAAAGAGAGGACTATAGGGCTGAAACTGCCCGAACGCACCGTTTTTTGCACGTTTCTACTGTGGAACAAGACTGCACCCCTGTCATTTGCAGCAATTCCAGCTTCCCGTGAAGAAGCCTGGCACACCCGAACCACATGCAAACCATCTTGAATGACGGAGATTTTGGTGATCATACGAACCCTGCACTGCAAAAGCCATGCCAAACTCTCCGAGTTTCACTGACGGACGAGGATCTTCGCGGTGGCGAACCGGGAACAGGATCACACGATATCACACGTAAGCTGCTGTAAAGTGGATGGGGGCTCTGAGACGCGGCGAAAGTAGGAGGCTTTGCACGCATGTAGCATGCACTCAGCCAGCGCACTTGCAGGCGTGGCGCTTGACTTCACGCGTTCTCCCACAACTTTCACACAGCCCGGATCTCTCATTCCATCCATTGGTTCATATTGTTCTTCCACTTAACGGTGCCTGATCAATGCTATGTCGCTCCAAGCCCAGAATCCCTACGCAGCGCAGGTCGCACGGGTTTTACTCGCTGCGACCTCTCCTTGCTGGCGGCAGTTCCGGCTCAAGCGTCGAAGCACAATGATGCCTGCGTTGGGTTCACATGCAGCAGGCTGCGCATGTCTGCAAGGCTTGATTGTCGGGTAGGATTCGCAAGACTCACATCCCCTAGCTTCAGGCGCATGTTTTGCCTGCAGCCCGGTAACCGTCGAACGGAGGACAAGATCCCTAGATCTGGCCTGAGCCAACGAGGAAGGACATGATCGCCGCAAGGACAAGCACACCAACCCGCAGCGAGGCTTCCTTTGGCAAGCTGGTTGCTTCTGGCTTTTCCCTCTGCAGTGCCGCAGGCTTCGGAAGGGGACTTACCTGGGACTCTATCTGCCTACAAGTTAGTAGTAAGCCCCTTCTCAGCAGGTATAAACCCTTAAAACTCTAGATAAACAGGGTCCCAGGTAAGGTGTAGGATTCAGGATCGACGGTGCAACGCAGCAGAGCAAATCCTTCACTTTACCTCGTTCTGAGTTTGAGCAGACGGAACCTTAAACCCTAAACCCTAAATCCGAAACCCTAAGCCCTAAACCCTAAACCAATGTCAACTCAGTTGCCAGATGCAGAGCAAGGCCATTCGGGCCGGTTAGCTGCATAAAGTGCTGGACTATCTTGGAACTTCGGGTGTGGTAAATGCCCCCTGTGCCGGGGGGAAAGAGGCCTGAAAACCCGAGACTTGGTGGCTTGGGGCTTGGTCAGGGTTCAAACTCTAGCCCTAAACCCTAAACCCTAAACCCTAAACCCTAAACCCTAAACCCTAAACCCTAAACCCTAAACCCTAGGTTTAGGGGCATTCAGACAATAAAACCTACAGCCACAAGGGTGCTGAGAGCTTTCCAGCAGACGGGTGCAGCCTAGGTTGGGTCATCCATGCCTCCGAGCGCTCTTCTGGACATCTTGCACCCAGCCCCCAACAGATACATGCTTATGCCCTAACCTCCATAAGCCCTGGTTTGGGGTTTAGGAAAACATCCCTCAGCCCTATACACCCAAGCCCCATGGAAATCCATGATCCATAGGCCCTATAGGGTCTCCCAAAATGGGGGGCCTTCGGCCTTCTCCCACAGCCCAATGTCAATCAAGATTCATGATTCATTAGGTTCAAGTGGCCATGTAAGACTAGTTTTTTTTTTCTTTTGTGGGGGGGGGGGGGGGGGGGGGGGTGCTTAGAGCAATTCTGAGGGGGAGGAGAGGGCAACTCCAGTTCCAAGACCACGACCATTGCCGACCGCGTCGGCGCCGTGCCCCCCCAGTCCTTGGACAACAAACTTCCAACTCCAGAGGATTTCAAGGGATCCGGTTTAGGGTCTAGGGTTTAGGATTTAGGGTGCCAAACTCGTTCAAAACCTTGGCGCTGTAAGTCCCTGCAACCACACATCTCGGGCTTGACATGCACCCGAATATGCCCCATGGTCAACTTTTCTCTGCAGCCCTCACGAAAATCATACCTACAAGCGAGAGCTTTGGCCACATTGACGTTCATCCTGACCCGTAAGCCACATCGATCCACCGCCACAGAACTCTCACAGCTTGGCCCTTGCGTTTTGACTGGAACGCTCGCCACCTCAACAAAGCCCTCCGGAAAAAGCCGCTCACGCAAGCCAAACAAAATCAAACAAACCTACTCACGAGTTCTTCAAGGGGGAGCCGATCTCAAGATTCGAGCCCTGAAGTACAGTCAGGTACCCTATAGGATCCCTCATTCCCTAACCCCTAAACCCGCAACCCTAAACCCTAAACCCGAAACCCTAAACCCTATAGCACTGCTTCTGAGCCCTGCGGCGGCCGCCACGGTCTCCAGCTCATCGCAGCGAGGTGGCAGCCAAGCCCTGTGGAGCGACTCATTGATGCATTTCTTGGGGTTCAGGGTTTAGGGTTTAGGGTTTACCCTAACATGAGGATGGAAAAGCCGGAAGTGTTGCGCTCAGTGCCTGTACAACATGAGCGCGATTTCCCGCTGACTTTGCAAACGGGCCCGGGCACTGCAGGCCTAATGGCTGGGGACCCTAGCCCTGAGCCATGAATCATGATAATCATTTCGCATTATACGAACAGTCGAATTCTAGTACCCCCCTGCTATAATCCCTATAAAGGATTGTTGGTATAAGGGGGGGGACATCCCAAGTTACCCCCAACTGCCAGGAGTTAAGTGAGTTTAAGTGTGGAAGCTCATGGCTTATGCGCGGTCGATGCCACAAGATCCTTACCTGCTGAGGGTAACCCCCCCTTCCATGTTGCGACGGAACAGATGATCGTTTCCTGCAGCTCGCATTTGTTTCTGCGACGCAGCCACCCGCAATAAACACTAAACCCTAAACCCTAAGCCAACAGCACTCAAACCCCTTGATAGGTCTCAGCGTTCCGCCCGTCCCAAATCTCGTCGCCTCCAAGTGCAGCTTCTGGCCAAAGCGAGCAGAAAGCGACCGCGGAGGAGGCTGGCTGTCCCCTCCAACGCGGCTTTGAGTTAATCTGGTTTGGGGATTCAGGGCTGAACCCTAAACCCAAGGGTTCAGGGTTTATGGGGTTTAGGGTATACATGGTTCAAGCTGAACCTTGGTTTAGAGTCTTTTTGGTTGCCCCGCACTCTGCACATGCCAGATTCACCCTAAACCCTCAACCCTAAACCCTAAACCCAAAACCCAAAACCCTAAACCCTAACCTCTCAGACCATCAGGGCCCGGGCAAAGACTGCCATGTCTGCCCCCCGCATCTTGTCGTGGTCGCTGATGCTGCCTTAGGCCGATCAGGGTTTAGGGTTTAGGGTTTAGGGTTTAGGGTTTAGGGTTTAGGGTTTAGGGTTTAGGGTTTATAAACCCTATAGGGTTTAGGGTTTAGAGAATCCCAGGAACCTAAAGCCTGACTCTTGTCTGGGTTTCACTGCTTCCCCGAGCTATCAGGAACCTAAGCGGACAGACAAGACAAGACAAGACTCCTTGCCTGGATGAACATGCTCTTGTGTGTTTTGTTTTTTTTTTTTTTTTTTGGGGGGGGGGGGGAGGTTTTTTTTTTTTTTTTTTTAGGGGGGGGGGGGAGGTTTAAGGTTTACGGTTCCGTCAGACCCCAGTTGGCGATTGTGTTAGCTGCTGAATTATTATCCCCAACAGCCTTTCACCCCATCGCATCCACACTGCCTACGTTCGCCGCAAACTGCACATTACAACCCCCTCACCCCCCCCACCCCACCTTCCCTCCGGAAAAATTCTCTAATCTGCTTCCTCTCAACCCTACAAACCCCAAAACCGTATACAAGCCCTTTACACCCCCAAGCCGAAACACAAACCCTGAAAACCCTACAAAACATCTATAAACCCTTTAACCCATTCGTACATCAACCTCGATGCTGCCGATGGGGCTGAGATGGGCCAGCGCCTTCGTCAGATTACGCGGGTGCCCGGCCCAAGCCTCCGCCTGAGCGCTTGGGCTGTGAGAGGTTAGGGTTCTTAGGGAGTATATACGGTTTTTAAGGGAGTAAAAATGCGTACGGTTTCTTGGGAGTAGAGAGTGCTTAGGGTTCATAGATAGGGGGTTTAGAAGGAGTATATAAGGGTTTAGAGGGAGTATATAAGGGTTTATGGGGTCTTGAGGGCTTATAGAGAAGAGGCTCGAGGTTGAAAAAGACATAAGTAGAGGGCTGAAGGAGTTGGACGAGACTTTTCAGGGTCTGGGGATTCTTGCGCTCTCTGATAGTGTAGCTCATCGACCCTAAAGACCTAAAACCCGTTCAGACGCCCCATAAGCCCTTCAACCGACCCTGAGGTCGAGATTTTTGCCGCTAAACCCTAAACCCTACACCCTACACCCTAAACCCCAAACCCCAAACCCGAAACCCTAAACCCTAAACCCTACCCTAAACCCTAAACCTTAAACCACCTCCAAGGCAGCACAGCGGAGGCGGGCCCCGGGAGCTCCCATGGAGGCGGCGGCGCAGTTCCTGGCGCTGGGGTTTAGGGTTTAGGGTTAGGGTTTAGGGTTTAGGGTTTAGGGTTTAGGGTTTAGGGTTTAGGGTTTAGGGTTTAGGGTTTAGGGTTTAGGGTTTAGGGTTTAGGGTTTAGGGTTTAGGGTTTAGGGTTTAGGGTTTAGGGTTTAGCGGTTAGGGTTTAGGGTTTAGGGTTTAGGGTTTAGGGTTTAGGGTTTAGGGTTTAGGGTTTAGGGTTTAGGGTTTAGGGTTTAGGGTTTAGGGTTTATTCAAAAACCCAAGAAACCCAAAAAGGCTAAGGATCTAAAGTCACAGTCCCGCACCACCAAGAAAGGAGCAAGAGGATCGGCTGAAGGGGCCGGGGCCTTGAAATCCCTTAGGGTGCCCTCGGGCTTCAAAGGGTGCGACAGATGTTGACAAGGGTGTGGAACTTGCTGTTGGTGAATAGGGAATGAGGGAATGAGGTACCCTACATCAACCTATACCTACCCGACAAGGGTGTGTAGTAACCGTAGTAACCCTAAACCCTAAACCCTAAACCCTAAATCCTAAACGGCAACCCGAAACGACCTAGAAACCCTGCAAAGCCCGCAAGCCCTCCCCTTTCATACTAGTTCGGCCGGGGGGCGGGCTTTAAGTATTAGGGGAAGGCTTGAAGGGGTTTAACTAAACCCTATAAACCTTAAAGACCCTAGAAGCCCTCGAAACCCTAAACCCTAAACCCTTTTGCACAGGCTTGTCTCAACCCTAAACCCTAAACCCTAAACCCTAAACCCTAAACCTTAAACCCTAAACCCTCAGCTGCCATAAGTCAACTGGTCGGGGTCGCCAAGCATGGGCCGCACCGAACTCTCCGAGCCTTGCAAAGGGAACTTCCGAAGAAGAACAAGGGTTTAGGGTTTAGGGCTTAGGGCTTAGGGCTTAGGGTTTGGGGTTTGGGGTTTAGGGTTTAGGGGTTCGGGGGTTTAGGGCTTGGGGTTTAGGGTTTAGGGGATTTAGGGGGTTTAGGGGGTTTAGGGGTTTGGGGGCTGAGGGGTTTAGAGGTTTTGGGGGTTTTAGGGGCTTTGGGGGGTTTGGGGGTTTGGGGGGTTTAGGGGTTTAGGGGGTTTAGGGGTTGAGGGGTTTAGAGGTTTTGGGGGTTTAGGGGTTTTGGGGGTTTTAGGGATTTTGGGGGGTTTAGGGGGTTTAGGGTTTGGGGGCTTCGTAATGAACACTATAGAGCTTCGCAGAAACTTTTCTGTCACTCGGGCCACGCTTGACTCAAGCTGAGACATCCGAGTTATTTCTTTCTTTCTTTCTTTCTTTCTCTCTCTCTCTCTCTCTCTCAAAACGAAAAGCCAGCTGTCGTAAGACCATGCTCAGCCTGGCTGCGCTAAGAGATGCGGCTTGTGCCGCAGTGTCAAACGGATCCTTGTTGGATGTGCCGATGTACGACCACACTGCCCGGAAGGAATGCCGAACTTGAAGTGCCAGCCAGCTGAAGCCGAACTCCCATGACCTCCCGGCTTCTGTACCACCAAGCGGGGGCAGCGTGTGGCCACAAGCTGCACAGTGCATCATCCTCTCTTAAACCAAGTTCAGAGCAAAACTACGGGAACCCTAAACCCTAAACCCCTAAACCCTAAACCCTAAACCCCTAAACCCTAAACCCTAAACCCTTCACCCCATACACCCAAAGCCCTTGTGCACCGTGAATCCCGTATGGCTCGGCCGCAGCTCTCGCACTCGTGGCCAGGACAGCCGAACTTACGAACGAAAGACGAGAGGGTTTAGGGCCTTTAGGGAATTTTCGGGAATTTTAGGGAATTTTAGGGTTTTAGAAGGCCCGAAATGCGTGAAACGGACAAAAATATTTGCCTTGCACGAGGTCATGCGTTAAGCCCTATACGAATCCCAAACAAAACATCAGCGCCCTCAAGCCCTTCATGCCATTCGCGCCCCAACGCCGGATTTTTTTCGCTGAAGTTTGGGGCCCCGGGCCATTCCAAGTGGTGTCCCGCAGCTGCTGCAGCCACGGCCGCATCAGGAAGTGCCTCTCAGGCAGGCTTAGGGTTTAGGGTTTAGGGTTTAGGGTTTAGGGTTTAGGGTTTAGGGTTTAGGGTTTAGGGTTTAGGGTTTAGGGTTTAGGGTTTAGGGTTTAGGGTTTAGGGTTTAGCTTTTAGGGTTTAGGGTTTAGGGTTTAGTTTTTGCCACACTTCTATCGGGTTGTGGTCAGGGCTTGAAAGGGTGTTGCAGGGTTTTATCAGGGTGTGACAGGGCTTTAGGGTTCAGGGGTTTAGAGGGGGGGGGGGCAGGAGTGATCGGATGACCTCTACATGGGGGACTTTGTGCCTTACTTGTATCCCCCCTATGTATAAGAAACTCCATGAGTGCATTGATTCCTGGTTCCGGTGCTCGAATTTTAAGATAACAACAAAAGGTTCCAAAAACCGTAGGCTTTCCGGTGGGTCTCCAGGTGGATGAGGCCTTTATTCAGAGCAGAAATAGGCCACGGAAAAACCAGACCTCTAGCCACCGGCCGATGTTTCCCAAATTTCCCAATGCGCGAAGCGTCCTTCAAACCACAGGTGCCCATGCCTGCGCGATGGCGCTGCCCTCCGGCATTGCAAGAGCCTCAAGGCTTTGGGAAAAGCATGCTGCCTCAAGCCTTGCAGACTCCGAAGACCCCCCGAAGAGCCCACGGACTTGATCATTTGAGGCGCGGCCTCCAATGTAGCCGGGTGCTCGGCAGCCCGCGAGCGGTACCTCCCAAGAGTTCTACTGTCTACAGGTCGCGCTGCAAGACTGTGGCTGACGGTGGAGCCTGGACACTTCCAGAGCGTTGAAAGGTCAAAGATTTTATGGCTATGTAAAGCAATTAAAGCAAGCCAAGGCATCCTCGCCAGGGAAAGCTACGAGCAACTTGACAATCCTTCTACCCCGCGACGAAAGCCGAAACCCTATACTACCACACCCTATTATAAACCCTAAATCCTAAGCCCTATACGCCCTAAACCCAAAACCCAAAACCCAAAACCCTGACCCATGTGGCAAGACGGCTACTGCCACATTCCAAGTGGCAGGGCTGCACACCGCCGCGCCGGAGCATCCGCCTGCTGTGCTCTTTGTCCAGATGACCCAACTTCGGGTGCATATAACTTGAAGCACTTCTATACGACCTACTTATACAAAGTGCATAGGTTTGGCGGCTCCTAATTTCGCCGCGCGGCTGCCTTAGCTTGGGACCGCAAGCCTGCGACTCTCACTGAGCTCGTTTCTTTTCTTTTTGCGCGCCCAACTCGGATTTGCTCACTTCCTTGAGACCACGAGTCGCTCCTGGCCAGCAACTCAACACCACCACTCTCTCTTCTTCCTCTTCTACCCAGCGAAGAGGACCCCTCGTGAGAGGAGCCCCCGGCCACTCCTCTCTCTCTCTCTCTCTCTTTCTTTCTTTCTTTCTTTCTGCGCACCTAACCCCCCTCCATTGAGGAGGGCCGTCCGAAGGCGTGCTCTCTCTCTCTCTCTCTCTCTCTCCAGGGCATGAAGTCATGCTCAGCACTGGTATACGACATGCACGATGCGACTTGCAGCGCTACCCTAAAACCCTTTGAGGGCATAGCCCGGAGTCCTTCTCGTTGCTGAGGCGGGCGAGACGCTCTGCGCGTGTCGTCTGCCACTCCTCCAGCTCCTGAACTGCGCACGGAACTGTGATGGACCATGCACGATTGTTACCAATATGTCTTATTACGATTGTTGTTACTACTAATATTACTACTATCGCTACTATTGCTATGATTGCTACCTTTCCTCATGTTATTATTATTACTATCATTACGAGTATTATTATAAATATATTCTTCTGTTAGAAGCTCTTCATAGACATTCATGCCTGTGCCTGCATAGGCATTTTCACAGTCATGAACATCGATGCTGTTTGTGTCAGTCGTCTAGCCAAACTCCTAAACCCTAAACCTAAACCCTTTGTGAGCCTGGAGCGTCCATGCCGAGCGGCGCACAAGAGAGGGCGAGATTCCGGGCTCGCACCGGCGCTTGTGGGGCTTTCCATTTTGGGTTTCGCGCATGGCGCGATAGCAGATGAGTGCCCCTAGGGCTTAGGGTTTAGGGTCTAGGGATTAGGGTTTCCTAAATCCTAGACTCCTAAACCTTTTGCATCCGGGCTTGGGGGGTCGGCCGGGAATGGTCAGGAAATCGTGGTGACTTGCAAAGCTCTAAAGCCCAAACCATTCTGATCCTAACCCTGAAAAGGAACCCTACCCCACTACATAAACCCTAAAAAAACCTTAAAACCCTCGACCCTTTTGAATCCAGGTCTCTTGCAGCCCTCCTAAAACCCGAAACCCTCTCCCTTAGGGACCAAACGAACCAAAAACTTGCGGTCATATACCCTAATACTACGATCATCCTTATCAAGGCAATATGAACCATAATTCGTCATATACCCTAAGACTACTATAGTTCTCACTGACGGGATATGAACCCTAAACCCTTTTAGGGTTCCTTTCGTCCCCAAGGTCACCACCCAAGACCCGGTCCCGTTGCACACGCCGCGCGGTGTCGCCCGAGCGGGCGCCCGCGCGCTCACGCTGCAGCAGGGCGGTCACCTCGGCCGCTCCGAGCGGCCCCCAAAGAGCCCAATGCCCCCCTTAATGAAGGCATAGACCTTAAAGGCATAAAGGGATCCTTATAACACGATTTAGGGGTATATTCCTTAATTAAGGCATATAACTTAATGCATAAAGGGATCCTTAATGCGCTTTAAGGTATATTCCTTAATTAAGGGGTATTGGGCTCTTTGGGGGGTTCTAGGGGTTTCGGGTTGGTAGGCAATATAATAAGTTTCAGGGTTTTGGGGTTTAGGGCTCAGGGTTTTTAAAGCTTCAAGGCTCAGGGCTTAGGGCTTTTAAGGTCTAGGGTTTGGGGCTGAGGGGGGGTTTATAAGTTTGAATTTGGGGCTCTTCTAGGCCGGCATATCGGGTCTTTTGGCTTCTTTAGGTTCGAAGGGACTTAGAGCAGGTCTTATGCGCAACCAGAGCCGGCCTGTGCCTCGGACATGAGGCCATCTCCCTGACGCAGGGTTTAGGGTTTAGGGTAGGGGGTTTAGGGTTTAGGGTTTAGGGTTTAGGGTTTAGGGTTTAGGGTTTAGGGTTTAGGGTTTAGGGCCATCGTGGGCACAAGCACTCTGTGAGCCCCCAAAACCTGGAGGACCAAATGAACCCCAAAACTGGGGTCATATAACCCGATACTACTAGAATCCCGATTAAGGTAATTTGAGCCAGAAAACCCTTCTAGGGTTCATGTAGTCCCCAAGGCTGAGCAGGTAAACTGCGGATAATTATCAACAAAGGTCCTGTAAAGAAGGCCCCACGATCTCTGAAGGAGTCTGCCAATTAAGGAGATTCCGAGCAGACCCAAAGAGCCCAATACGCCTTTATTAAGGTATATACCTTAATTCATAAAGGGATCCTGAAGATGATGTAAGGTATACTCCTTATAATTAATAAGGAGTCTTGGGCTCTTTGGGGACACACCGGATGAGATCCTGTCCTGGACGCTCTCTGGCCGCTGGAGCGGCCGCTCCGGCCGCCCTGCCCGGCGCGGGGAGGACTCCCGGGGGCCTTTCTCCTCCTTCTGGCCCTCTCCGAGGGTGGCGCCCTGGTTCTCGTCTCTCCTCAAGGAAATCCTACAAAAGCTCTATAAACCAAGTTGAAAGTACACCAGATACATCCCTAGAAACCCTGTAAAAAAATAGGGAAGGCAAGAGTATGAAAGCGAGGAAAAGCCGAGAAGATGCACATGACTTCTCTGTCCTCCGCTTCCGGCTCCGCTTCGGGGCCTTTGCCTTCCATGGATCCGACATGGCAAAAAGCTGAGATGCAACTAAAGTTGCATATCAGATGTGTTGTGAATGTGATTATAGCTTTTTATATGTTTTTTTATACGCATATCTATGTATATATGTATATGTATATGCATATACAAACTCTGCACTTCATGGCCGACCTGGTGAGGCAGCGGCTTGCGCCTGGGAAAGCGGGGTGGCTGATAGAAGGGCGGTAGAACCCCTCTCCTCAAGAGCCCTTAGTACCCCCTAATTGAGGAAAACACCTTAAATCATCCTAAACCCTAAACCCTAAACCCTAAACCCTAAACCCTAAACCATTAAATTCAGGTATATTCCCTTAATTAAGGGGCATACCATGGCATACCGGGCTCTGCAAGGGCTCCTCTTCGCTCTCCCGAGGCGCGGGCCAGAAGCCAGTCTCCGCTTCTTCCTCGACCTCATCCTCCTCGTCGTCCTCATCCTCCACCTTTAGGGTTTAGGGTTTAGGGTTTAGGGTTTAGGGTCACAACCTAATTCCCAAAGAGCCCAATACCCCTTTACTAAGCAATATATGCCTTAATTTATCAAGGGATCCTGAATATGATTTATAAGGTATACTCCGTAATTAAGGGGTATTGGGCTCTTTGGGTTCTCGCACAACCTCTCATACACACATGTCGGACAGGGAGATCTCCAGGGCGCCCGCTGCTGCGGCAGCGGGGGTGGGATACCTCGAGGCGCGAAGCGTTGGAAGCGATATGAAGCAAGCGTAGCCGCAAGATGCCCGTAAGGCAGCTGCCAGCCGCTCACTTCTTCCCGTGGCTGCACTGCGCCTTGGGCAACAGCTGTTCTAAGGGCGCAGCAAACGTCCCGCAGGGTGCGTTGTGGGGTTCCCAACTTCTCAAACACCTGCCTTGACAATTACATGGAGCTTTACGAAAATAGGGGACCCTTAATATAGATCCCCAAATAGTAGGATTCCCTTATAAACAGAGAGGACGTGGAAAAGGTACCCCCCCCCCCAATTTGGGAAACCCCCTCGTAAGTTGTTCTCCAGACGCTCACGGCAAAGGCAACTTGGAGGTTCATGGTACTTATGAACCAATGATAACTGTAGTGATAACTGTGCTTATAACCATATTAGGGCACTTCAGGGGCTTATAAGTACAGCTAAAAGAACAGTGATACAATTGGTGAATAGGTACCATGAACCTCCAAGAACAGGCTACTGCCGGGTCCCGTGCCCAGGGGCGCCAGGCCGGCGCGGTTCGCGCGGGGCCGGGCGGTTGGATTTGCTGCTCCGAGCGGCTCCTTCTCCTCCTTCAGCTCCTCTGCCAACAGAATTTGAGTGAGAACCTGCTAAACCCTTTTTGAGGGCTCTCTTCCCTCTAAACCCTGAACCCTAAACCCGAGACCCGAAACCCTGCGGACCCTAAACCCTCAACCCCAAAACTCAGAGAAGGGCTTCTCTGGGCTCGTTGTCCCCTGCCTCCGGCGCCTCCGCACGGCCTGAGACACATCTGAGCAGTCCCTCTCTGATACTTCTGATTTCGCACCTCCTGAAAGAAAAGGGTTTAAGGGATAGGGTTTCGGGTATGCTGTGCTATATACTTGCTATGCTTCTTCTTCTTCTTGCTCTTCTCTCCCGCTTCTCTCTCTCTCTCTCTGTCTTCTTCTTGCTCTACCGGGCCTAGGGGGCAAGCCCCCCGCGCGCAGGCACGCCCAAGTCTCGTCCGTAGTGAGACTCTCCATATGCAGTCCCCGGTCACCATACTCCCTTTCCCCCCAGAGGAATGCTAACTAGCTCTCAACACTACAGGTGACCTTACTTCCCATGCCTGATGACCGTGGCATCTGCTATGCCTGTCTGCACACGTCGTGCTCTGACGAAAAAGGGTGGTATGGATGATATGAATGCTCTCCCCCGTGCGACCCTCAGCAAGTTAGAACCGCGCTACTGGGACCGCAGTGTAGCACACGAGACCCCATGCTCTTGCTCTCTCTCTCTCTGTCTCTCTCTCTCTCTCTCTCTTGGCCCCAAAACTCACCCTAGACCCTAAACCCGAATTAAACCCTAAACCCCCAAACCCTCAACCCTAAAAACCCCAAGCCCGGCCTCGCTCCCTTCGAATCTCGGAGAGGCGCGGGGGCTTCGTGGTCAAGGGGCCGACGGTCGCCACGGGGCCAATGCCCATCCTCATCCGTGAAGTCGAGCCCCCACTTGGTTCCCTCTGCTCCTGAAACCTTATATCGTATACATACATGACATAT